TTTTTTTTTACAGGAGGATTAATACTGGTTCCTCAATTTCACTCAATGACTCAAACTCACGTTATGGGATACGCCGAGCGAGGTATGCGCCACTGCGCTAAACCCTCTTCAACAACAAACCTTTTCGTCACCAAATCGATGGACTTCGATTTTGGATTGTTGAAAATAACATTTAGATCAAATTATTAAACCAATAAATGACAAACAAAGTCACATGTTGAAAATAACATTTGAATCAAATTATTAAACCAAGAAAAGACTAACAAAGTCCCAATTAGGTAGGCCACTTCATTTTTGGCAGTTCCATAATATTTCCTGCATAATCCTCGGATCAAATTCTGACAGAAAAAAATCATTCATTTCTTGAGGAATAGTAACTTGAGATGGTTTTTTGGTCTTCCACTTTCATTTCCTTCAACTAGGTTCTTTAAGACTTAAAAATAAATAAAATTTTATATAAAAATTGTGACTTATGACTCGGTTCGAGTCTTTGTGAAGACAGAAAACTCTTATTGGAAGACTCACCCATCACTAGTATGCGACTCGGGTCGACCAACGAATTAATCGGAGCATAGCTTCGGATATTGTGATTGGCTACAAAAAAGAACTATATACAACTTTTCTGGTCGACTCGTAGCTGGGTTGAACTAACAGATTAACTCCACAATGATGACAACAATACCAATATATATGTAAGAAACTGAGGGAAAACGGGTGCGGTCTAACATGAAGCACACCATGAATGAGGAAAAAATTAATCTATATGAAGCCCAAGTGGGGTTCCATCTTAAAATCAATTGGTGGAAGGAGGAGTAGTCCATTAGACTTATAAGCATAAACGGGTACGTGGGTCCAAGCCCTACTAGAAACAGGCTGGGTAAACGGGTACATCATCGCACGGTCCCAATAAAACCGACTCTGATACCATGTAAGAAACCAGGGGAAAACGGGTGCGGTCCCACTAACATGAAGCACATAACCATGAATGAGGAAAAAACCCATATGAAGCCCAAGTGGAGTTCCATCCCAAAACGTGAAAGGAGGAGTATCCCATTAGAGTAGGAGTATCCCATTAGACTTATAAGGTGAGTCTATTTTCTATGTATGAACAATGTGGACAACTCACAAGTGATATTCTAACAATATAAACCAAAAGGAAAGTGATATGAAATTCGTTTTTCAGTTGTTTATTTTCCCAATTCCACATTTCTCAAACTTTTTTTCAAATATCTACATTTCATCACACAGTCATATCACCATCACCACCGCCTGATCCATCTCCAAAATCAGAAAAGGAAAAAAAAAAAAAAAATTAAATTCCGAATCTACGAAAAAAAAAAAAATTGACCAGCCTACAAACCGGCGGTGATTGGCGAGTAGTCGCCGTGAAAATCCAAAATCCCGGAGGCCAGCCACAGCTTTTCGTTGAAGGCCTCCTGCATATCCTCCGGCACGAACTGCGTCCGGCACAGCGGGCACGTCTTCTGGTCGTGGTCCATCCATCTGTCCAGGCAGCCCCGGTGGAATATGTGCCGGCAGTTGGCCAGCCGCCGGATCTCGTCCTCGCCGTCGAATTCGTACAGGCACACCGCGCAGCTCTCAGGCAGCTCCAGATCGCCTCCTTGCGCCAAATCCGAGAAACTCACCACCGGCAGCATCTCCCGGATCAGCGCCGCCGCCATGGAACGGGGCTCCGAAACCGATTCGACCCGTGGACTGTACGGCGCTGTCTCCGGCTCCAGAAAATCCCCAAATCCGAACAGAGTGAGGACGGCGCCGATAAACTTGCGGATGAACCCCAAAAACGTCAGCAGGTAGACCAATAAATTGGGGAGGTATAAGTCGGTGTAACCAACCGGAAACCCCATTTTTCTCGTCGCAGGTTAAGCTTTTCAAGAACAAAAATGGCGAGGTGTTTCGTGTTACTGTTAGTGCGTTTATTGTGTGTAAAAAAAAGCAGGGTTGGTTATATAGACGTGGTGGCGCTTGTAAAATGACGAAAATGGGTCTGAATTTTGGAGGTAATTACGGCGAAAAGGATGTGTGGGAGTGCGGGCAGGATCAGGTGTCCGTGTCACGCTCGCATAAGCGTGCAGTTAACGTACTGTTTTTGGGCGTGTGATTAGTTAACACGTGTGTGGGTTTTTTTTTTTTAACTTCAATTAATTAATTGGGAACCTAATCAATTATTTAAAATAAATTTTTTATTAGTTAATGCGTAGGCCTTGGGAAGATAAGGGCTTAGTGGGGGACCAAGTTAAAAAAATAATTACAAATGATAGTGCATGGCTCTTAATAAATAAAATAAATTAGATAGTTCGAACTCGTTTCTTTAAAGAGCTCGTTAAACTTTATAAATAGTGATTTTAATGAGTTTAGTTAATTGAGGAGTCAAGCTCGAACTCATTTATCGTTTTGGTAACTTAATGAGCTCGATTCAATTAGGGCTCGAGCGTGAATTCGAGTATTAGGAGTTTGAATTTGGCTCTACTCATTTATAACTCTAAATTTGTGTGGTAATTAATGATTAGTCAAATCGGATTTTAGTATATTGGATAAATCTCCATATATAATTTTTAATTATGATGAGCCTAACTGGCATGATCGCATGTTTCGGGATCGTATGTGACAATTTCATACTCTGTCGTTAAACTTGGATGAATTTTAACTAACTCAATCTAAAATAGTTATGTTTGGAATAACCATAAATATACTAGATATTTATGGTCCTTTTTAAAACTTAATTATGTTAATTTCCTATTCTAGACGTGATTTAAATTTAAGACATAACTTTTTTTTTTTTTCTCAATCTTTCTTTTAAAAATTATGAAAAATTACTAATTTAAATTATAAGTATATTTAAAAGCTAATATTTTTTATTTATTATCAATTTTTATGCATATATATATCAATTAATCATGTCTTGATAAACTTCGATTTGACACTTTTATTGTGCATATAAAATAAATAAATAATTACATTTCTCTTTATAATAAAAATTAAATTATCTATTAGCATTAATTAAAATATAGAATTGTTTAAATCAGATTAACTACAAAGTTGTTAAATGATATAATTTAACAAAATTATTATAATATAAGATGGTAAGCCGTATGAATTATGAGTATTATTTTAAATATAGTAATATAGTTACTCAAAAAAGCAGTTGAAAATTAAAATATTTTGTTTATTATTAATTTAAATTTTAAATATAAATTTATTAACAAACACCCGTGTAATACACGAGCGTGTACTAATATACATCATTACAATATCATAGTTTCATTTATGTTGCATTTTAAAGTATAACTCTAATGTATAAAAAGATACATATTTGTTTTAAAATATATATATATATATATATATATATATATATATATATATATAAATATATATATAAATATAATGGTTAGTCCTAATTAATGTTAGGTACTAATTAGATAAAGGGTTAGGTCCATAAAACAACAATAATGAAAACAAATTAAAGACTTTTGTGATTCATTGTCGCTCTGTCACTAGTTAAGGGTGAGGCATCATGTCCCACATTCTAACGAGAGCAATGTACATATACCCAATTTTACACGAAAATGCTAAGGTCTCGTTACAGAACCATTCCGTCAGAATTTGCAACCGTTAGATCAACATATAATCGTCAGAGATAGTTGATCTAAGGGTTACAAACCCCGACAGAATAGTTCCGTAAACGGGACTGTAGCATCTTCCCATTTTACAATAACAAGAAAATAAAAAAAAACTCTTTTAATTTGGTTTGCATAAAATAAATGTCATTACATTACAATATAATATGAAGAATCATGGAGAAAACAAGGGATCAACTTATGTTCCATTGCATTTGTATCTATAAGACACTGTCACAAAATTAATTCATAATTTTATAGTTAAGAGTATATCCAAAGTCTAGTTAGATAGACAATAAATAACACAACATGTATTATTTTATTTCCCATTGGAATCAATAATTTGAATTCAAATAATTAAATGATTGTAAAAGGATGAATATGGTGAGACAGTAATTCTATGGAGCAATCGGATGGCTCCGTTATGGAGCCATCCATAATTTTATATACTGACACATGTCCAATGTGCATTTATTGTAGGACACGTGTCAATACATCATTTGTGAACAACAATAGATGGCTCCATAAGCCGAGTCATCCGATGGCTCCATAGCAAAACCGTATGATGCAAGGATGGAAAGGGAAAAGTGATTGAGAAAAGAAACGTCCTAGGCGTGGAAGGTGGGACTATTTGTTTCCACAAATCGGACCCTTTTGAAAGGGCCATAACACTAAATTAAGGTGGTCATGTATAATGTCCTTCGAAGATTATAAATGACACTTATTGTCAATTACAGTTGTTCACAACATGTTGTTTGTTTATTTATAACTTCATTCAGCTAATTTTTCACCATAAGAGCATGGAATTTTTCCTTGATTAGATGTATTGACATATGTAATGAGTGGATTTACTTTCGAACACGTGTCAATATACTTATTTGTAAAATATGTGAACGATTCTATAGGTCATGTTATCTGATGGCTCGCCCTGTAGCAAAAATATTGTTCAAATATATTGTTTATAATTCCATTGAACTTTTTTGTGTTGTTTATATCAGAGCTTTAATATGATTAAATGAGAATGAGTGATAGTAAAAGAAATAAGTATGGGTATAGCCGTTGGGTGTGCTATATCAACGCTTCAGGTCTGATTAAGCACTCCAACATTGGTCAAAATAAGTTGAGATATTTTAGTTATCTTTAATATCAACTAGTATTCGATCCTGTGCATGTGCACAGATGCAAATACAATTTTATATGTTATATGTATGTGTATGTAATATTTAAAATCATAAGTTAGATAATAGCATATCACATTTTATAAATTTTATCATTAGTAAAAATGAACGATAAACTATTAACTTACATATTAGTTTTTATATCAATTGCAGTTATATAATATTTGCAATACTTTTTTAGTATGAACAATTGATTAGGTAAAATAATATTGAAATAATTTTTATTATAGTATCGAAATTTTGAAAATTTTGGTTATATCATAAAAATTAAATAACTAATGTTGATAAAAACACTTGCTTAATGAGTTAAAACCAAAAGAAAAAAACCAAATATATAGTTTGAAAAAAAATTTAAATTATAATTTCATTTAATGTGGCTTTATGATTTGTTAGGAGTAATTGTTATATAATAAAAAAAAAAAAATATAAATATATACTTAATTAATGCAAAGTAACCTCTTTTGGGGGGAAAAAAAATTGAGGTTTTATTAAATGCATATAAGCTAGTAATTATATATATATATAGATTATGTTTAATTTTTTTACGTGGGGACATTTTAGTTATTGAGCAGAATAAGTTGAGATGCTATTGTGCATTTCCACAGCATTAATGTGTATTTTATCGAACACTATTGTGCATTATATAGCACGACGACATTGTGATAGATTTGTAAACTTTTAAATATGCATATGATGCAATCTTGTAATTTCAAAAAACACGGCAGTTTTAATGTGCGTATCCATACGCAATAATGTGCGTTTAAGTAAACATTAATGTGAAAGTATCAAACTTTTGCTAATTTACGCAAGGACTAAATTACAATATGCTAAAGTTTTTAAAACAACAGATGATCCTTGAGACTTATCTTATTTCGAAATAAAACCCTTAGCCCAAACGAGATTCCCTCCACCTCGAGACCACCACTAGTACGCGGCCAAGCCGGCCAGCAGCGATGCACCTGACTCGACGATAAAGAGGAGGAGGACAACAACAACGATGGCGAGGAGGAGAAGGTTGCGAGTGCGGGGATGATTGCATGTGCGTGTAGTGTGGACAGTGACAAATCTAGAAATTTCATTCAGGGGTCCCGATTTTAAATGTTAAATAACGAGCTTATATTTTAAGTTGAAACACTCAATCCAATATAAATATTGATACGTATACCATCAAGTTTTTATGACCTTAGACTCTGTATCACCTCAAACTTAAAACAAAAAAAAAAAATAAAGATTTCACGTATTTATAATTTAAGTTCAACGTCTATAATTTATGAAAAAATAAGTTTTTTGGTTGAAAAATTGATTTATGTTGAACTTTAGACAATATTAGCATTTTTGTTGATGAAAGCTTATCAAATGAAAATATTTTTAAGATAAAATAAACAAAGTTAAAAATAAGTGATTACACATAAAGAATAAAAAATCAACATTAAAAATTGTAAGAATCCAACTAGATTATACTCGATTTTATAAATCACAAAACTGATTCACAATTAAGAGATCGAAAGAGTAAATCATTATAAATTTTCCAAAAGTTTATCTAGAAATTTAAATATAAGGATTGTTAGTATATTTTTCAATAAATAATAATATTATTAATTCAAATAAAAATAACATAGAAAGTTTTAGTTAGTCATATATTGTAAATAATGTTTAAGTTTCTGTATATTTTAAGTATTTTCTTTATATATATATTATTTCTAATAAATCTTAATTATTAATATATTTTAAATATTTTTTATATTATTTTCTGTGTATATATATATATATATTCACATATATATTGATTTTTTTTAAAAAAAAAATGAGGGGGACCACGGGCCCCCTCGGCCCCATGTGGCTCCGTCACTTAGTGTGGATGGCTCTACGTGGGAGCTTGGGGGTGGGAAGATTATGGACGAATCAATGCCGGAGTTGATGCGGATAGATTTTGTAGTGGCGGTGGTGGTCGGGCGAGGGGACAATGACGAGAAAGTACAAGGTGACGAGGATTTCATCAAGACGGTGGCTAGGGTTTCGTCGGCGGTGGTGACAATGGTGGCGGTAGGTCTG